CTGGGGCTTTCAGATACGCCACTGACCTGAACGTATCTCTGAGACTCATTCTGGAATTTTTAAATTTTGTTTTGATGATTTTTGGGGGGAAGTTTGGGGTGAAACATCTTCGCATCTAAGGGTGTGTCTATACTTTTTCTTTTTAGAAAGAGGGCTATTTCGAAATTTGGCGCATCTACACAGTGCCAAATCATATATATGATTTGTCTAGGAAGGAGCATGGCAGAAAGGGATCTAGGGGTCATAGTGGATCACAAGTTGAATATGAGTCAACAGTGTGATGCTGTTGCAAAAAAAGCAAATATGATTCTAGGTTGTATCAATAGGTGTGTTGTAAGCAAAACTCGTGAAGTCATTCTGCCGCTCTACTCTGCACTAGTTAGGCCTCAGCTGGAGTACTGTGTCTAGTTCTGGGTGCCACATTTCAAGAAAGATGTGGAGAAATTGGAAAGGGTACAGAGAAGAGCGACAAGAATGATTAAAGGTTTAGAGAACATGACCTATGAAGCCAGGCTTCATGAACTGGGCTTGTTTAATTTGGAAAAAAGAAGATTAAGGGGGGACATGATAGCGGCTTTCAAATATCTAAAAGGGTGTCACAAGGAAGAAGGAGAAAATTTGTTCCTCTTGGTTACTGAGGACAGGACAAGGAGTAATGGGCTTAAAGTGCAGCAAGGGAGGTTTAGATTGGACATTAGGAAAAAATTCCTAACTGTCAGGGTGGTCAAATATTGGAATAAATTGCCAAGGGAGGTGGTGGAATCTCCCTCTCTGGAGATATTTAAGAACAGGTTAGATAGACATCTGTCAGGGATGGTGTAGACGGAGCTTGATCCTGCCTTGAGGGCGGGGGGCTGGACTCGATGACCTCTCGAGGTCCCTTCCAGTCCTATGATTCTATATCATCAGTCCAGCCAACGCTACTTCCTAATGTAGTAGAATTCAGTTCCACAATATGGTTATTAGTTAGCTATGCAAGTTGTCTATATTTTATTATTGAGAAAATGGTAACAGTAGCAATGAGATTCTTGTTACTGTGCCTCCAAAGTGAATATGCCACAAGGTATTTATGCATCAGGATGTTTTTTTCTTTTCTTTAACATCTTCATTAAATGCCCTAGAACAGTGGTCTCCAACCTTTTCACACCCAAGATTTTAGGAGGCAACAGCGCTGCCCAGAGGGAACAGCCAGGGGGCGGGGCCTGGACAAGCGTGCATCTCTGACATCAGGAAAGGGCGCCAGATTCAAAAGGAGGAAAGCAGAGCGGACGTGGAGGAGACAGAGAGGAGAACGGAGGACAGAGAGAGAGAGAATGAGAGAGACGCAGAGGGAGGAGGAAAAGAGAAACACAGAGTGGGAGGCGGGAGGGGGAGAAGAGAGAGAGAGAAGGAAAGAGAGGCAGGAGGTGGACGAGAGCTGAGAGAGAGAGAGGGCGAGGCAGTAAGAGGAGAAGAGAGAGAGAGGCGTTTTGTGCCGATTGCTCCCATGCGGAGGCCCAGCTGAGCGGGGCAAAAGTGGCCTGGCTGAGCGGCGCAGAAGTCAGCCGAGCACCATGGCAGGAGGCGAAGGAGGCTGGGGCGGTGACGTACACGCCCAGGGGGCGGGGCCTAGACGAGCGTGCATCCCCAACGGAGACAGAGGAGAGCAGAGAGAGAGTGAGAGGCAGGAGGGGGAGACGAGAAAGAGAAAGAGACGGAGAGAGAGGCAGAAGTCAGAGGAGAGCTGAGAGAAAGAGAGGGGGAGGCAGTAGGAGGAGGAGGAGAGAGAGAAAGAGACATGGAGTGAGAGACCGGAGGCTCAGGAGAGAAGACCGATGTGGAGGAGAGACCTGAAAATCCTGCCTTATGATGGGCTGATTGGCTAGTTTTGGAATCAAACACTATTTCGAGATATCCCTTATTCTTCGTAGAATGAGGTTTACAGGGATGCTGAAATTGCATGTTTGCTATATTTTGAAATAGCGGACACGTTCAAAAAACAATGTCGATGTACCCTAAGTGTGAACAATTGTCAGCCCTGAAGAGTCTTGCTATACACCCTAACTGTCCTTCTTTGTCCTTGTCTTAGCGTTGGGTATTTACACTTAAGGAGAATTAATTAAATTTTTTTCTACCTAAATCTTTCCCAGTTAGAATTCTACTTGAGGTTTTTATTCCTACACTGCACAAGACCACACTTGTCATTCCTTGCTAATTTTCTCTTATAACACAGCGTAACAGGGATCGACCCAGAGCCACGCCTGAGGAAGGAGGACTCATAAGTACAGGAGTGGCTATTCCGTGTCTGCAACTGACCCCCGTGCAACCTTCACCTCAACATGCCTCTTTTTCAAGGATTCGTAAACGTGGAGTGTAAGGAGGTTACGTTGGGTTTTGACACATACAGAGAACTGTCTCGTTAAAATATTAATTGAGAGTTGCTGGGCTTGGAGGCCTCTGCTCTGAGTCAGAGTCACTTGGACTGACATGGAGGCCAAGGTCTCCGGGGTCATTCTCTTCATCGGGTCGTGATTTCAGGACACACCATGTGGGGCTATTTCATGTCTGTTCCAATGCAGTTTGGAATTGGGTGTTTTTTCAACACCGTGCGGGATGGAATGGCCCAGCCCAGTTCCCCGGAGCTCCCGTGAGCCGGGAGGTACCCAGTGTGCTGAAACCAGCGAGGGGATCTGACCCTCCCCAGTCGCAGTGATTCCCCCCCCCCGCCCCCCCCCCCG